CAGTGTTTAACTAGAACGTTAATAGATATGTCTAGGCCATGTAAAAATTGCAATTTATTGAAAGATGAAAGATTTTTTTTTTTTTTACTAACGTGCTAACTTTTTTCCTCCTGTATTCTGTTTCCTAAAGGTGCTGTAAAATTTACTTGAGCCTTTGCTGGGATGGAAGAACACTATCTGTGTGTCAGAGTAGTAATGTTTAGAACCAGTGGAAAAGACTTGTCTGAGGCTGTCCTTATATTTTACTTTTTAGGCAAGGATTAAGTAAGGGCAGACAGTACTCAAGTTCAATACCTAACATATATTCCTTTTTAAGCAAACAAGTACACGGGATCTGAACTAGTAGCATGGATGTGATCTGTGATCTAGAGCTTAAGCATCACTTTAGATGTAGACTGGTGTACAGTGACAGGTATATAAAAATGCCAAGACAGGAAAACACCGAAGCAAATTAATTTCTATGTGAATTGACATGAGTCAAGGAAGATTGCTATGGCCTGAACTTGTAATTAAAGACCATTGTGAAGCAACATCATACATCATGAGAATGAGGTAGATTATCAACAGTCTGTTAATAAGCATAATACGCCTTTGGGGAAGAGGAATAGGGAACATACAAAGAGTGATGTAGCTACGACTTGGGATATAAAATGTATTGCTTGTTAGCTAGGCAAGCCTTGGTTTTGCATTATGTCCTAACTGCTGAGGTTTTTGAGGGCAGACTTCTTGATATGTGTAGGGTGTTTGATAATGGAAGCCAAGCGCTTTGCTTATAAGGTGATGCAGCACCAAGTATTTGATCCAGCTAATTAACTTCTTCTGGGATATTGTTGGTTTCCTTTTGGTGAATTTTTACATCTCTGAATATAAAATGAATGGCATCAATCAGTTTAAGGACCTGGTATAAATTATGTATTTATATAGAAAGATTATTAATTATATATTGTATGTGTTCATATATAAAATTATATATAATTATAATAGATTAATGTATGTTATAAATAATAATTACTGTAAACAATGTTTATATAGAAACATTCATTTTAAGCAAAATACCTTGCAGAGTTGTTTGTATCTTGTTGGATTTTAATGGGACAATTAGATTTTTAGGTGTCTAGGCACAAGTGAAGAAAAATCACATAGGCTTATCTATATAGGCTGGTATGTTGAAGTATCTATGTTTGTTAATGCATTTTTAAATGGGAAATGATACTTTATATCTTCCTGCCTAGTTCAAAAGCTCTTTAAATCTCAGTCCAATTTGTAGACTAATCTGTGCTACAGAGTATTCAGTTGATAAATTATGAGTTTTTCAACATCCTTCTGTCAGGAAAAAAGTTTATAGGCACAGTTCTGGCTTTTTTTTTTATTTTATTTTTTTATTTTTTTTATTTTAACTTGCATAGGTTGCATCTGTCCTTTTGAGAATTTGTCTTACCATGCAAGCATTTACAGGTGATATATATTCGGTAGACTGTGAATATCAACCTCAGTAGTTTGTGGTGGTTTGCTTTTTTGGAGAGTAGGGATGGTATTTAGTGATTGCTCAGCAATGATCTGTCCTTCTGAAAATGCGATGTAGCTCTGTTGCTAGAGTTCCTGGTGAACTTGAGATTGGCTCAGGCTTCTATAGAACTTTTTCTCGTTTGCTGTGAGCATTTAATAGTATTTGGGATCCATTTTCCCATTTCCTTTGTAGAATTGTTTTCTTCTGTTGATTGTATGCAGCTTTGTGAATCAGCTTTGTATTTTAAATTTTATGTATGTTTTCAGTGCCTGTGTCAAGCTGGTGGGGTTTCAAGTTGATGGCTAAAAAATAATAATGTAAGGCATCATATTTTTTTTTTTTACATATAATTAATCCTCCTGCCCTTATTTTTAGAGCATACTCTGAGGCTATGGCTTCATGTTACTACAATTACTTTAGGAAAGCTTGTTCTAGATGTGTTAGTCTATACTTGCTTATGGTTGCTTATTCCCCCACTTCAGCTTATGCAATCTCTTGATTGTCTTGATAGAGCAGTTTGCCAAACCACAGGTTATACTGATTCAGTAAAATGACTGCTTAAACTGAAGACTTTTTGAGGCATTTTTTTCTTAAACCCTGGTCATCTCAGTAATCCAGTTTATAACTGTTTTCAGGGCTACAGTCTGTCAGGAGCACAGCTGGAGGGGTAGCAGAGGACTGGAGGGGAAGGGACCTCTTAAAGCCACTTTGCATCTGGAGAAATTGTAGTGAACCACAACCTGGAGAGTCTGAAGCACGGGCCTTTAGCCATGCAGTATGGCACATTTGCTCTCTGGGTTTGAAGTGGGAATTACCTACCACAGTTATGGAGAAAATACTAAGATCTTATTTGTTTGGGCAATGCATGCTGCTCTTGCCACAAAGAGAGGTAGAAAGTTGAAAAAGTTGATTCAGATTCACTTCGTGGCCCTTCCACCCAGTAGCATGACTAGTAAGTGGCTGTTGATGTCTTAGAAATAGCGTAGTAGGTCTTTCCCATTCATTCTTAAAATGAATAACGTGCAGCAAAATCCAAAGCATCTGCCTCTTTTGGTCTTATATTTGAACATGAAGGGTGCTTAGTTATTAATACCCTTCTGACCTTGTGATTTATACTGTTTAAGTTGGATTTCTTAGATCCTGAGGTGTTGTAATCATCAAAATAATACTTCTGTGGTGTGATGGATTTTCTCTTGCCTGGGAAGTAAATTAAGCTACTTTGTGTGATTAAGTGGAGGACTTTATGCCTGTTGCTACCTGATGAGTTAGCAAAAAAAACCAAAACCCAAACTATTTTATTTTGGTTTGTTAAAACATGAATTATAAATTCTTAGAAAGCAAATAAACTGTATGTAAGAATAACTTTCTCAGTTCTGTGATTATGTCCATCACCCTTTCCTGTCTTTTGTTTCCTTGTAGCGTAAAACAATTGTAGCTTTGAAGTGCTAAATTGTACATATTGTTCAATTGTCCTACTCAGGCATAAGCTAAAGCTTCTAAAGGTTATTTATCTAGTAAATTCTGCATACAATTATCTATAGGATTGCTGGCCTGTCTTAAAAGTGAATAGCTTTCTCTTTTGGTTTTGGGAGCAAGCTAGACCATCTGGCTTTGTCCACAGCAAACATCCTCAGATTTTGTTTTAACACTAAGCCTTGTGATCTATTCAGTTGTTTGTTTGCATTTCTTTCCATGTTTCTTCATTTCTACTATTGTCTAGAAAATTAGAGAAATGCTTACTACATCTTTTTTTTTCTTTTTTGCTAATTAGTGGTTTGTCAATTGTTATGTCAAAGAAGTTCCAGTGCCTTTCACTTTGAGCAAGTCTTGTGTATTACTACTGAACTGTCAATTCAAGTCTGTCCTGAAAAATTCAGAAATACTTTAAAAATAAAAGGTTTAGTGTTTTGGTATAAAGAAAATTAAGGTAAATACCTAACTAGAGTTTTGAAAATCTTTTCTTAACTATCTGTCACCTTACCGGTATTTTTCAAATACAACTTAGTTATGCAGACAATGCAGTAGAGGTGTTCATGGAATAATGGTCTCTTGGCAATTTTTTGGAGGCTTCCATTATTTGGTTTTTTAAAGGAAGGGATTTTATTGTTCTAGACATTTCTGTTGTGGAAGTGTCATGTAAGTGTTTTTCTGATGAGTCTTCACTCCTTCAACCAGCTGGATGAATGGAACAATTCTGGATTGCCTTGCCCATTTTAATACAAGTAGATGGAAAATATCTTGAAATAGCGTTAGATTTTTTTTCATTGTTCTTTTTTTTGTCATTCTTTCTTACTCCAAAAAACTGTTTTCAGCTGAAGTGGAGGAGAAGAATAGAGGGTAGAAATACAGGAGCGTTCTGGCGTGTTGGAAGAGTAACATTTAAATCTTTATTACATAGGGTGGGGAGTGTGTATAAACTCTAGAAGCTCAGAATGAATTTTGAGTATGCAAACCTGTATTTTTGGATTTAGCTGAACAGTTGAACTTGTATACTTTTATATTTCATGTATGAGAAGGTACTGAGATTTTAATTTATCTGTGTATATTGGCCATAAAAGCGGGTAAATACTGGAACAGGTTGCCCAGAAATGTTGTGGAATGTCCATCTTTCAGGTGGAGTTTACCTGAGCAACCTGATTTAATCAGAGCTGCTTTTAGCAGTATTTGGACTAATGAACTTCATCAGTCCCTTCTAATGTAAACATTCTATACTTTTGATAGTTCAAAAGCCTGATCTGTAACATGGAGTAGGTATCTGTAAAATTCAGAGCTTAATTGAAGCAAAAATTCTTAATTGTGGGTATAGAGTTAGTGTGTGCCTATGCTGCAACTTAAATCCTTTGTAAACAAAAAGAAAAGCCTCTTTCCCATTCTGTTTCAAGTTTAAATACAAAATATTTTCCAAATCTTAAACAAGCAATGTATGCTGATGGTTAGAGGGTAAATATTTGTTCTTATTGGGAAAACCCACTGTTAAGAAAAAACAATCAAGGCTATTTCTCTCACACCTGATACTTTTTCTTTGCAAGGGCCAATACTAAATCCTGTACTTACGTGGATACTTGCCTAATATGAGAAGTTTTTTTAGCAGTTTTGCATGAACTTAGGACTGGACGAATGGTATGGCATTTTCCTCACTGATGGGAGCAAGGAGCAACGGTGCTGTTGCTCTTCTGTGAAATGCGTGAGCCCCCTTGTTTGAGATTATTCTAACCTGTCAGGCTAGAACATGCATTGTTCTTTGCTGTTACACTGAAGAAATAGCATGTGGGGCTTTTGTATGTTAGATGTTCTGTAATCGTTTTATGATAAGGGAGTATCTACAGTTAGGGGTCTTAAGTTCTCAGCCAGCAGAGTGTGTGCTGCCCGTTCAAGTCATCACAGGAGGTACTTCATGTTGACACTATGGGGCTTTGCTCATGCTTGTAATTTTCTAGATGCTTTAAAGTGATTTACGGTGTATAGTAATAACTGTGTTTATTCATTTACGTAGGTGATAGAGAGTTCCTCCAGGTTTTGTCAAGCTATGGTGTACAGACAACTACTTTGACAACTAAAACTGATGGCAATGATGGCAAGGCTGAACACCTAGAGTATATTGCCTTTGCATTGGTTCCTGTTTTCTTCATCATGGGTCTCTTGGGGATTTTCGTCTGTCATGTCCTTAAGAAAAAAGGATATCGTTGTACAACAGAGGCTGAACAAGTAGAAGAAGAAAAACTTGATGAAAAGATAGGTAATCGACAAGTCTACTAAACAAATTCCTATTTCTGTACGCTGCAACTACTATGGAATAATTTATTGTGGGACTTCTGTCATTTCTCTGTCTATAATTGACATCAAAACAATATTAAGAAAAGTATTTTTATTACCATTATATGTCTGTTGTGTTTTGGTCTTTGTCAGTCAAAACTAGGAGTATTTCAATTTCCCATGCAAGTCCTCTAGTATCAATTAAGAGCTTAAAGAGGGATCAAAGTATCCAGTATATTTGTTCGCAACTATACACTACAATTGGAGTAACCAGATTGCTCTTCTGCATTGCACATGCTGTCAGCAACGAAGTGTTACGATAAATAATTCTATATGAGGGGTGACAAAAAGCTGCTGTTTAAAGCCTAAAATCTTAGTTTTATGTTTAGCAATCTTGTTCCTGTTGTGCTGTCATTCTCATCTCCCCTCTCATTATAAATCTGAGCCTTTGGACTGACTGTCTACGTTCTATGTAATGTGTGCTGCTTATAATTTTTTCTTAAAGATACCTTTGTTTTTGTTCTAATGTATGTTTGTTTGTGCTCTTGTTTTTATGGTTCCTTATTCCAATCTACTCTTACTTGGAAAAAAAAACAACAACCCAACACAAAAGAGTGTTATCACTTGGGAAGGGCTATAGTAACCCAGTACAGCATTGGGCTAAGTAAACACAAGGGCCAAGTCACTTGTAAATGCTTAGGGCCTCTTCCTTTCTCCCAATTAATTACTGTCAGTAGGTTCACAATAAGCATAATAAGTGCAAATTACAGTGGCTTGGTGGTAAGGGTAGAGCCATGTGGTGCGGCAGTGATGTGTCAGTATGTACTTAAGCATTTGCTGCCTGGGGCACATGCACGGCAAGTGGGACCATCGATCTGTGAGCGCACCTGAGCGGTAACAGCAGGGTGAGGAGTTTGGGGAAGTAGCTGTGTCTAAGTAGCACTGCAACGTTGCAGGTGTTAGGATGAAGAGTGGGTACAGAGATGAGGAAGCCCGTAATTTCCTACTTAGAGACAAATGTAGGGTCTCCTCTATCAAACTTGCCTCAATCCTGTGATTTTTTTTTTTTTTTTTTCCTTTTTATGAAACTAGTCATAACTATCATTAGGGAAGAGCAGAGCTGTGCCTCTTCATTGTTCTATTTTTCTACCCGATTTTTCTCTGCCTTCTGAGGTTATTCTGGGGAAGCTTCCAGTACTGTTATTGGGTGCAATCCATTCCAAAAGTGTTAAGTATGGTCATGAAGTTTCTTTCTTAAATCCCTTGCTCCTGTAGTCATATGAGAATTTTTTTTTAATTAAAAAAATCAAATGTTATGTCCTTGTAGATGTGGCAAAAAGTTTAAATTGAATCCCTCTTGGACTAGAAGCTGACAATGCCTATTTAAAAATAGTGACTTGAGACAGTTTATTGATTTTTTTTTTTTTTTAAGTTAGTTTTTTTCTCTCTATTGTTAGGATTAGAAATACTGCTCTCTAGTTTGTCTCCTCCTTACTAGCTAGAGAAGGAATTTTGACATATGCTTGTGAAAATAGTGAGTTTATTAAGTCTTAGGTAGGTATGTTAGAGACGATGCATAGATTCCATAAACTTGTGTTTGTACTTTTTCCTGAATAAAGACTAAAAAGACTTATCTAAGCTTTCCCTCCAAAGTGACAATAGATCTTATTTTTGTTTTATGTAACTTGTGGTGTTTGGTTTTGTTTTGTCTTGGGTTTTTTGGTTTTACTTTGTTTTAAAATAACTCAATTCTTGATTCAGAAGGCCAAGGTATTGACAACGTATTTATTTCCTTGCACAGAAATGAATGAAACTATACATGAGAATAACGACACTGTGGGACAAATTGTTAACTACATTATGAAAAATGAAGGTATAGTATTGTGATAGTGAAGTTATGAGCATTTGTGGTGGTGTTCTATAACAAATAATGTATTTTCAGGTATTGCAAAGCATGGTATGTTTGTGTGTTTTCACTTAATAACCATTTTATACATGCTTAACTCTTTGAGATTGCCTTCAGGAGGCAGTAACTTAAAAAAAAAAAAAAGCGGAAGTTTTTCGCTTACCTGAAAATAATTCTGTATGATAAGTTTGGTTCATGAATTTTTTGTTATTTTAACTATTTTGGTGCTTGATTTTTTTTTTTGGGTGTGTGTGTGTGTGTGTGTGTTTCATCCTTTTGTTTTGTTTGTGAAATAAAAGCTCAAGGATGCTTCCTTAATGGCAGTGTTTAAAGCATGTGGAATTTTGATGTCTTGACAGATTAAACTTTGTCTTGAGCTGATTCTTGTAGCTGTTGTCTCAGTTATGCACAAACCTTTCATCAGACAATAGGGTAGACTAGCAGCAGTGTTGAATTTTGGACATGGTACTTCCATGTGCTGTGTTTGCAAAGAAAACACGACTGAAAAAATAAAATCACAGTTAAGCAGCCCATGGAATGCTTGGTTAGTTCAGAATGTATTTGCCCAGTAGAAGAAACATTTAGAAGACTACATGTTTTTATAGACAAGAAACTTTATTCTTTTAATTTTACATTTTTATAAATACGAGTTCTTCTGAGCATTGAACTGGAATGTATTTACTTCTGAATGAGGTCTAGTCCTCTGGAAAAGTTGTATTTTGGGGCTTGGGGGGGTTGGGGTTTTTTTGTTTGTTTGTCTTCCTGTTAATAACTTAAGGAGTTGAGCTTGTCTATTTTAACTTGAGGTTGGGATTAGGTACCGCACATGTGTTTTAGAATGTGAGCAATTGGTAGTTCTTGGCTGATAATTAAATTGCATTTTGTAGGGCTCACTTGAAGTGGTGTTTTTAATCTGAAGTTGCTTATACACGTGAGGTGATGTGGTCAAATGGATGTTTTAAAATTTTCAGAGATCTTGTTTTGGGAGTGTTGTGCAGATGGCTACGTTGTATGGTTTGTATTGGGGCAGAGCTTTGAGTGCAGTATGAACTGTAATTTTAATAGCTCGTGTTAAGAAAATCCCATAGAATTCTATTTCTATTAACATTTTATTGCATAATTTTCTCTCATGCCTTTTTGGAGATGTACGTAATGCAGTCATCTTTCTTTAAGATGAAATTTCTTTGAGGACCTTTAATTTTGCTGTTTGTTTTTTCTAAAGTTAGAGCCGTACACTTCTGAAGAGTTCTATTTATTCTCATTGCAGCAAATGCTGATGTGTTAAAGGCCATGGTAGCAGATAGCAGTGTCTTTGAACCTGAAAGGTAATTACTCATCTTTTTAATGCATGTTTCCTGAGGCAACTAAAACCGTACCCTTTCAAAGGTTTTTATTTTATAAGCTCTTTTAAGACTGCATCACTTCCTTGAGTTATTGGCTAAGAGTATAATACTTTGATTTCCTTGTGTCTCTTGAGTCACTAAATTTTAATGTATGCCCTGGGCTAGTAACTGGCTTTTCTGGTTATGTGTTCTAGGCGTGTGATTCGGATTTTTATTGCTTTTTGAGCTAAAGATTTACAGAGGCTGCAAATACTTGTTTACTTTAGGGTGAAGTTACTTACAAGTTAGCTTAGTCCAAAGCTACTCTGACTTGAAAGAGCAAAAGCAGTGCTCATTTCATTTGTATGGATGCTAACTTAAAATAGACATCTCTTTCTATGTCTCTTTCTGGTTTACTCTTTTCTTTATAATTGTTGTAATATATGTTGGCTGATCTAAGTCTTATTTTTTTCACTACGCACCGATTTAGAAAATTTGAGAAAGTAGTTCAGCCCTTGAGTTGCAGATGCATCATGTGTGTAAAAGTACTTGTATCTGTATATAAGCACCTTTCAACTATATCTGTACTACCCTAAATGCTCTTCATATGTAACCTTGTGTTCATATTCAAGGCAGAGCGCGTGAAGGTTCAAGTAGTACTGTGTCACTAATAAAAGAAATGGGAGTGTATAGTTTTAGCAAAACAAAGGGTTGAGTACGCAACCGTTTATCACCTGTTTTAATGGTGAGAGGCTCGGTTATTGCAGAAGAAATATTGAACTTACAAAAGGAGTTCTCAAGTATGGGAATTGCTTTTAAACTTTTACGGTGCAGCAGAAATATTTGTTTGAATTTTAACTCAATCTTTTTGCCTAGGCATGTGTGATGTTATTTTGGGAGTTTTAGACTATTGTTTCAGTGGTGAATGCTCTTACACAACTTCTGACAGGTACTCCTAAAGCTTTCATAACTCAAGTGCAAATCCACTGTATTTCTTTGTAAGTTTGGTGCACTATGAAACGCTTGCTAATGATAGGAATAGTAATGGTTAAGTAAGATATGTACTTCTGCCACTTAAAGTTCCTCTTATTAGTTCCTGTCTTTGCTTCCAATGTTGAACAGATTTTATTTCCCTTAATAGTATTCTCTTATTTATTTGAAAACCATTAAATGTCTTCTGTCAATATTTTTGTTTTGAAAATAAGCATCCAAGTAACTCCAGTCTTTTGTGGCGTGTTTTATTTCTTTAATTTGTTCTTTCTGTTTTCCTTTGGAATCTCTTCAGTTTGTTAGTATTTTTCTTGAAATAAGATTTCTAAAACTGGATGGAGCAATCAGCTGAGGCATGATCAATGCTGAGTAATGTAACTTTGGGTTCATAGGTTATAGTCCTGTTATTTCCACTGTGAAAATTGTCCTTTTTAAGCAACATCATCGTAATGATTCATGTTCAGCTTGTGATCTTCACCTTCTTTTTCTGAAGAATGATCATCTGGCTAGTTGCTTTTTAATCTGTGTTTGTGAAGTTTTTCTGCTAAAGCGCTGAAATTTGTGTTGTCTTTACTGGAATACATCCAGTATTTTTAGTAAGATTTATGTATGTGTGAATGTGTCTTTCACACACATGCTCTCCTCTGATCATGTTAATTTTTCATCTTGTCCTCTACAGTTGCTATGGGTGACCCAAAGTTTATGGGTACTTCTAGCTATTCTTCTGTTCCATTGCCCAAGGAACTGTTTAAAACACTGAATATCATCAGAACCAGAATAACCACATTTAGTATGTCTTTCCAGTTTCCTAGTAAGCTACTGACATATAACTCTCTGGTATGTCTTATCTTTTCTTTTTTTTTTTTTTTTTTTTTTTAACAAGGTGTACTACTTAGTGCATTAAAGGCGAAATTACTGTACCATGTGCTCTAGCTTGCTTTAGGAGAATGTGTTGCAAGGCAGTGTCAAAATTTATTCTGAAGTCCAAAAAAGTACATCTGGTTTCTATCTATGCTATCTGCTTTTCTGCTTTAGAAGAAAATTAGATTGATTTGATGAGATAGTCTCAATAAATGCCTTTTGGTGGTTGTACTGCTTTTTTTTTTTTTTTTCTTTCTAGGTACTTTAAAAAACATTTTTCTGAAGTTTAAACTGAATGATCTGTGATTCCTTTTCTCTTCATGGTAGACATTTTAGTTTTGCCTGTTTGTAATATTGTGGGACTGTTCTTTTCTGTGAGTTCTTAGGGATACTGTAACAATTCTGAAATACTTTCTGTAGTTCTCCAAGTGTGAATTTAATCAGCTAATTAGATGTCTTCATAGGTATAAGTTCATATAACCTGTTCTCTGCTGGTTTAGCCTTTTTTTTTTTTTTTTTTTTTTCCCCCCCTTGCTCTTCATGGTAGTTACCTTAACCACATGACTGCAGCTGAATTAATTTATGGAAGTGATTTTAACTGCAAAAATATGGTATTGGAGGGAACTTTAAACTACACATCCTTACAAATAATCAGTCTCTTCAAAAACTAGCTATTCACTAGAAATAACTGAAGGTTATATTTTATCCTTTTCTTTTTTCCTTTTTAAGAAACGGTTTTACAGTAAACACTGAATTTCCTTTATACTTTTTCCTACAGCCCTTTATCTCCTGGCTCTCCTGGGAGTCCAACGAGTCCAGGGACTCCTTTGTCACCTGGTGTTGTTCCGTTTAAACACAGCTGCAAAGGCCATCACTTCCATACTGTTGGAGGAGTAGTAGAAAAGGATGTTTGTACGCGTTGTAGCCACAAACGATGGCATCTTATAAAGCCAGCTCACAAATCTAAAGAGCACAGAAGAAGTCGTCTTGGAGAAGTTACGGTCCTTTCTGTGGGAAGGTAAGACTTAGGTAATTTTGTTGTATACTTTTCTTAGGGATGCTACAGTGGCCCATGTTGGATCAGATATCCATTGATTCTACTCTGTTTTTAGCATCAGTGATTGCTTTTTGCAGCCCTGTCTCTATTAGACTGAAGTTATTTTTGGAAGAAGTAAATGTAGATTTTTTTTTTTTTTAAACTATGTAAATAGATGGGGGTTTACTGTGGGTATAAATCCATAGCTATTGCTCTGTTGATACTGGCTAAAAAGAAACAAGAACTAATACTAATAGATTCTTCTGTTTCTGAATGTGATATTTCTCAAGTAAGTGTGAGCTATGGAAACCACTTTGTTCTGTTTTGTTCTTTTTAATTCCTAGCTTATGTTGTAGTTGTCTTAGAAAATTACCATTCTAAGAAGTAGTATGCAACCAGTATGTGGATTCTGCTTTAAAACACAATTCCCTGAGAAAGTGTGGTTCAGCAATAGTGAGTATTAAAAGTACGTGTAGGTGACAGGAAGGAAGATTGCTCAGAAGTGAAGTTGGGTCCATGTGGGTGTCTGCTCCGATGTCTAGGTCTTGTGATCCGAAAACATAGACCCATCTATACCTTGGGTACCGAAAAATGTTCTAACTAATCTCTTGGGAAATACAACTAAGTCATTCTTTTGCTTACCTCAGATTTAGAGTCACAAAAGTGGAGCACAAATCGAATTCCAAAGAACGGAAAAGCTTGATGTCTGTTACTGGCGTGGAGAGTGTCAATGGTGACATGCCTGCCACGCCTGCAAAAGAGGAAGCGAGCGAAGCTCCTGCCGCGCCTGTGAAACAGGAGGTGCAAGAGAGGAGAAGCTCAGAGTAAACTGCAGGTACCAAACATTGGGGAAGTGGTGTGTTGTAAAACAAGTGAAAGTGATCAGTAAAGAGAAATGAAGTTGAAAATGTATCAGTTCTGCATGAAAACTCATCAAAAGTTTATACAGAAGTCTGCAAAAATTATATTTGATCACTTGGTTAACATTAACCTTATTTTTCCCCCCCCCCCTCCTCCTAAACTGACATGCTCTTAGTATTTTCTTGAAGTGACCTCTACAGTGTTTCAGTTTATCCTAGTGTCTGGCTGGCTGCATCATTTGAAGTAGCATTGATAAAGGCTAATATATCCACCAAATTCTTATCTAATTGTTTATTTAGACTTTGTAATTAGAGTAGATGTTGAAATAAAAACTACTTTGTGGAGGTGGCATCACTGGTCCAAGAAATAAAACATCTGCATATTAATTTTTTGGCAATAAATGATGGTTTAGATTTAGCAGCAATGTGCTTATTGCCCAAAAGAAACAAATGCTGCTGACACCTCCATTGCTGGAATAACTGCAGTGCTTCTTCCTTACGCTTGCTGCCCTGTACTGTGTGCTTGTATAAGGTGACTGCTTACTAGATACTTCTCCGATAGATCAGTGGAGCTTTGGCTAATAAGAATGGAGACACAGGCAAATGCTCGTTTTGCAGGTGTCTATGGTAGGTTAATAAGCCAGGAGGTTGGGGTTTTCTTGTGAGTCATTAAACTTCAGTGAATTTCTTGAGATACCTCATTAAGAACGTCAACAATGTGTCTGGCATGGTTTTGGAATGCACCCCTGACTACTTTTTTTTTTTTTCTAACAGTTAAGAATATTGGGATGAAAAAAACTGCGTAAGTTAAATATGGTTTACTTCTAACTGATGACACACTGATTGGTAATCTGAAGGGAAAAAGTGATTTTACACAAATGTGATTCAAAATACAGAGCTTGACCCTTGGGGAAGAAAGGGGTTCTGGGTGACAAAGGCACTGGATTTGAAGAAAGCGAGCAAAGTCTGCACTCTGTTTATTGAGAGAGAGGAAAAAGTCATGTTGTGTCAGCTCAGTCCAGTTTTGAACTCTCAATAACTTCAAATATAAGAGGGAAATGCACAAGTGAAAATAGGGTAAGTTTAAAAATGTAACAAAACCCAAACCCCCTCAAGTGTCTTGAGGTTAAATTCTGAAAGGCCAAGGTGCAAGGTGTGGCCTTTTCTTTATATCCATTGTTTATTCATTAAGAAAACATTCTGTAATTGTATCAGTTTAGAAAGGAAAACAAAGTAGAGAGCTGGTATGCAATGGGATACTTCCTCCCAACTTTTACTGGCAGCACAGGCATGACTGTTAAACTAAGCAGAGTGTATTTGTCTGTGCCTTGTCATTAAATTATACCCAATTTTTTTGGAACCATTGTCAAAGAGGAAGAAAGACTTGGAGATGTGGTATGTCTCCAAAAGTTTAAAAAGCTGCAGAGGGTAATGAAGTATAGTTCTCTTTGCTCAGTTGGTCAGAAGGTAACTAGTAGGCTAATTTGTAAGGAGGTGGAGTTCAGGTTTCAAAAATTAAGTTGGGATACGGTGTCGTATCTGTATTGCTGGGCATTCGTAAGACCAGGCTGGACAAATATAACTGGCCCTGCCTTGGAGGTAGGTGACAGACTGTAAGGATGGTTGGATTTTTTGTTTTGCTTTTGTTCTGTGGCAAATTTTGGCAAAGCATAGCTTTCTAGTGCCTGCTGTCTCATTGCTGCTCTGTAATCTGTGAGGGCTCTATAGGTGTCAGTGAAAGACAAACTTAATTCTGAATCAGAAAATAAGAGTAATGTCCTGGTGCTCAGGTTTGGTTTTTCTTTTTTTTTCGTTGGTGTGGTTTCTTTTTCCTTCTTTCCTTTTAAAAAATTAATATTAGCTAAATGCAATAGGAGATAACCTTTTCCTTCACTGGCTGCATTGGCATTTTAATGCCCAGCTAATTATTTTATTACTCCCGTGACTGTTTTTTTTTTTTCCTTTTCTATATCTCTAATGGTAGCATGATCAGACTGTTCATAATACGATTTTAGTTATCTTTAAACATTAGAAATAGAAAGAAAAGGGCACATATGGAAATAAAGTTAATTCCAGTGCACTTTGATTAAAAAAAATCTATTGAAATCACTCTAAAAATATCCGGTTTTCTTTCTGATTTGTTCCTTCTTCTCGTAAATAAGAAAGCTGTTCCCTGTAATTACCTAAATGTTGTTCTCTAAATTACTACTATAATCTAAAAATAAGCTGTTCTCTAGAGAGATATGCTAGTATAGCTAAAAAAAAATTAAATGTCCATTTATGGCAGCTTTTTATTGTAGAACCTCCCTTAAGATTGAAGTATTGCCCTTTCTGAAAACCAGTGTTCCAATAGTAGAGAAATGGCTCCACAGAATCTCTTGTAAATGTCTCTTCAGTCCAAAAGAACTATTTTTGTAAATGATCTGGGAAACTAGCCAGGCCTGTTTGATGCGCGCTACAAAAAATAAACAGATCTTTTCAAGAAAGACTCTGATACTGTTCCCTAGCATGGTTCTAGATCAGTTTTTGTTCACTGCCATGAAAAACTGTTGACATTATAAACAGGTAGTAGTTAGACCTTTAGTTCAATTACTTATTTCAGTTTTCTAATAAATTATTTTAGCTTAATTTACTGAAACTGAACAAATAAGCAGCATTTAAGACTTTTGTGCCTCCAGCCAAAAAATTAATGATAAAAAGCATGTAATTTTGGAGAATTTGGTTCAGATCTTCAGATGCAGAGGAACAAGGCAGACAGAAATATGATTAACTGCTGCCAGAAAAGGTTTGTTCCGGCACTGGGAGGCAGTAGATTTGTGCTTTGTGGCCTGACTTTAACCGCTGTTACTGCAAATTCCTGTATGAGATGGAATTCCTGAGTTGGGCAGTACTTGAATGACACAATATTTCTGGCTGGTTGTGTTCACTGCTGCTCTTGACTTCCGGTTTTTTTTTCCCCAAAACTGACATGTTCTTAGTATTTTCTTGAAGTGACTTCAACAGTATTTCAGCTTATCCTAGTGGCTGCATCATTTGAAGTTGTCGTGTGTCTTCTCCATGTCTCCAAGGTCCTTGTTCTCAGCAGACTCCATTTCAACAGTTAAGTTTAAGATATGCTTAGTGGCACATAAAAAAGTAGTAGATATACAGCTGACAGTTGAAGTAAAAATTCTGAGCTGAGCTCTTACACATCTATTGTAAGCTACTGGGTAAATAAAAAACTTAAGGTACTGATGCGCTGAAGCTATGTATCGTTTTCCATTCCTAGTATCCTTTTCAAAATTGTCTTTGCTTTGCACTGTGGTGTGTTTTGTCAGGTTTTCCACTTATTTGTCATGAGTACCAGCTGAATTTTTAATTCTTCTCCTTTAGGATTTCATATGCTAAACTTGCAATGCACGGCAACCACTTCATGCGAATGTGACATTTTTTTCCATTTCAGAGCATCTGCTAACTTTTTAATTGGCGTGTTCATCCTAAAACTAATTTTGCTGTTTAGGTGTATTTTTAGAATTGTTTTCTTCTCTTGCAGGTGGAAATTTTAGAAGCTTGTCTGCTAGCACTTTGAAGAAAACTGAAAACTCCCAAGAGATGCATACTATTTAAGGACATGTATTTATGGCACTGTAGCATTTTATAAGTTTTGTGATGGCATCCATGCAAGGTTAAACACTTAATGGCTTTTCACCAGTCAAATCAGTAAGATCTTGACACTTAAATACTGCTGAGCTGTGTGGACCTTATACCAAATGTTGGGCTTCATCTAGGAAATAAAAATACAGATAAGATTTTAGACAGGAAATGTAAAAACCTTATCAAATAATCTTAATTTTTTTGTGCTTAGACAAGCATTTTTAATGAGCTCAATATTGTGAGTTATGTGATTACTCTATGGATAAACTGTGTTCATTCCTCTGGTCCATCGGGATTTTTCTCCTCTGTTCTTCAACTCCAGAATTGACGAGCATTTGCTGAAGATAAAACCAGCCTTTGGAAGACAAAAATACTCTCTTAATCTAACTGCTAGTAGCCAAGGAAAACATACAAGGAAATAATTACATCAGCCAAAATCTCCATGTGTGCCTTAAGTATATAAGCCCTTGGACTCTGTGAAGGGTACTTAGTAGCACAGAGTAGTTCAGCTATATGCAGATGTTAAATTACATTGTTGTCTTACCTCCCTTACTTACATCTTACTACTTAGCACAGGCTGAAGAGTGTCTTTTTCTATGCAGTTGGGTGAGCTCTTGGGAAGGTTACTTTCCTTGAGGCCACTTGTTCTGGTATTTTATAACTACTCACTCATATTTGAACAGTGCCTAATAGTTTTGCCTTTCTTTGTTTTTACCCACAGGTTCCTTATTAAGCTCAGGCAACGTATTTCAACCATAAGATAAGGATATGGAATATTTGGCATAAAAAATTTATGGAGTGCATGCTAAAGTACTTCATAGTGGCTTTATTGGACTGAGGGTAGCACCAAAATCTTAAGCCAGTGTCACTCCCTTCATGTTTTAAGTGTGACTTACTGCTAAAAATACCAGTGATGGTTTTGTGATGTTAATTTTTTGTGTCTGCTTATGATTTGTCCTATTACTTGTTTTGGGGAGGGATATCTCTGCAATACTTCAGCAAACTAGAAACTGAAAAATAACATTTGTTCTGAGTGCCTAAGAATATAAGCTCTAATGTAATGCATTTTAATAGAGATTGCACTATATTCTGAGAACTATAACTTAATCTATTTTATGAACTCAATGAAAATCAGTGTTTATTTTTAAATTTGTTTTAAATTAGTACTTTCAATCCTTTTAGTCCAAGGGCTCTAAACTGTGTTTCTTCTTCAGATCTGAGAATCAGGTTTCTTTGTCAGTTTATGCAGTGTTAATCAATGTGTGCAAGGATAAACATTAATTTCTTGTTTATGTATTAGATACTCCCGTGTCTTGTCAGGAAGCAGCAAGTTTATTTCACGCTGGCTGAAAGTATGTGCTGCTGATGGTCCTACTTTTTGTACCCACAAGACACTGACTGGTCCTATCAATATATACTTTTCACTGATGCTGTATTTGGCAAAAAACCAAAACAACAACAAAAAAAAACCCAACCCCCCACCCACCAAAGCTCTGAAAAGAGTAAATGGTTTATTGTTCCTTTTAAAATGGATATTTTTAGAGGTAATTGTCTATCCTTAAGAACCCAAAGTAACTGTTTGGCCAGGACTGGAACTTCAGTGTTTTGTGCCCCTGCTCCCGTTGATTTAAACCTGGCTGATGAAATCACTTCAGTATTTAAGTATAGCATAAAAACCACGTTCACCTTACAGGCATACATTTAATATTCTTGATATTTTTTCTTCTTCAAGCTCCACTTGATTATTTGTATGAAGAGCTAATATTTCTAGAAGAATTTAATTAGTATTGGTTATAGTAGTTAGCTTTCAGTTTCCAAGAAACAGAGATCTATGAGTATAAAATGTTACTAGATAAAAGGGAGTATTGGGCAAAACCAAGCATTTTCAAATAATTTTCAGAAAGGAGATACACAGTTATAGGCTGTCCCAAAATATCTTAAGAAAAAAAGTGGAAGGGGTTATTCTGATAATACTGTGTTTTGATACATGATGATGGGTTAGTGTACTGCAAGTAAATTTGCCAAAGGATGGAAGAAACTTTAAACAGAAATATGTATTTTTTTTACTTGATTTAAAAGTAGTTTCTATTTTGATTCCATTGGAAATATGTAGAATAAAAGAAATGAAAATGTGTTGGGTATGTAAAACATTGTTTACCTTATAAGATACATAAGGTATTATAAAGCATGATATGTGCAAGAATTTAACTTGTGCATTGCTACTTCAATAAGAGGAATTAGAAACTGTACCTGTTTCATTGCATTTAACACTACACTCTGCTGTTTTATAGGGGTATGGATACTGCCATATTAGTCTGCCTTAAATTTGCATTTTGGATGTATTTTTAACAAAATAGTTTATATATGACTTTTGTACTACCAAGCAGTAAATAAAAAATATTGATTCTTAAGCTTGTTCATGATTTCCTTAAGCCTGCATCCATGGCGTGAAATTTAACCTTTGCCCAGTCTTAATGTATAATGCAATCTCTTTGCATCTTAAGTTTTTGTTTATGGAGGTAGTGAGAAGGTTAGGTGGCTGTATCATGTACTTCAGAGCAGTTTTATTTTCCTGAGGAAAGGACAATTGCAAATACTACTTTAGTTCCATATTTTATATGGGAAAGAAGAAAATCTATGTTTTAATCCAAGCTGGTATCTGATTAAAGGCCTTTTACCTTTAAAGTATCAAGACTCTTTACTTTTTATTGTATTTGACATTGAGCTTTTAAAAAATACACAACATTATCTTTATTCTCAATTGTTTTTGTAAGGTATGAAAGGATTAATTATAAATGACAGGAAGGTCTTTGCAGTTGCTTCCTCTCAGCCTGTGTCCCTCTGTGATACTAAAATACGTAATTTGTTATGTTCTCACAGATGACTATGATCTGTAAATAGCATTAAAAATCAGTTTTGCTGTATGAATAGTGTGAAGGAGGCTCAAAGCAAGTTTTTGCAGCTAGCTGAGATGTAGTTTTCAGTGTACCATCCTGTTTGCATTTTTTTTGATTCTTTATTTCAGTGTTCCTAGCTGCATCACGCAAGGTCTGTTCAGGGGTCCTTATTTGAATATTAGAGGTTTATGTACAGCTGTGGTTTATATTCCAAATTTTAAAAAAAATTCCTCCAGGCATTAATTTTCAAAGAGAATCAAGACACTGCTAATTGTGAAGCTTCTGGAAAGTGAGTGTGCACTATCTGATTCTTACTTTCAGGGATTTTTTTTGTTCCTTTTTTGTTTGACGTAAGAAAATTAACCTGAGAGTAATACATTATACTGCTACTTGTTCCCTTAGCAAGTTTTGCCCCTGCCCCCTTTTCCTTGACTTTCTAATGCTTTCAGTGACAATTTCAGGTTATACTGAAGTTAAAACTGAATGCAAATATAACTGTACCAAGAAACTTTGATGCCAGAAAAGATAAGGATAGAAGACTGTAATTTTGTGTAATACACAGTTTTTATTCGATATGTGCATATATTGAAATCCAAGATGATTCCTGTATTAAAAGTTTGAGAAATTCTATAATAACTAGACTGTCCTAAAGAAGTCCTCAAAAGTGAAGATTTTTTTCCAGATTTTTTTTTTTTACATGGATAATACTTCTGTTATTTTTCTCCAGTACAGGCGCTTTATTTTTTTTAAGTAGAGTATTATGCCAAAATTCAGGATCTTACCTCATGCTGTTGTAGCAAAACAGATGAGGGAGCTACTTCTATTTCTAATAAAATCTGATTTTACTTGTAAAAATCATAGTGCACACTTACATTGTATTTTTGAAACATGGCAAGGGTTAAAGCATTTATTTTCTCTTATTTCTGAACCTCTCTATAAACTACCTCAGTTGAAAAGCCATGCCATAGTGTACTTGGTAGCTCATTGCCATTTTCTTTCTGAACTGTCTCCCTGTTTTTCATAAGTACAGAAACCTTGACAAAACTGGTACCTTATAGGATCCCTGTACTGGCAAGCGTTTCCGTGTGTCACTTGTGGAAAGACTTATTTCATCCAGCTTCTCTTGTTTTTTTTTTTTAAAAAAAAAAAAAAAAAAAGCTAAAGCACAAGCATGTTCCTGCATACTTAAAGTCTGTGGATAGATGTTGTATCTATGCACTTTCTGTAGAAATGAACCCAGGCTCCAGTATTTCTGAGGGGTGCGTACGTCTCGGAGTGGGGGGCTTTCTCAAGCCTGTGGTGCCAGGTAGCAGAGCCAAACCGAAAGATGCAAAAGTGGGGGGGGAGATGGGCACTAAAAGGAGTGATAGGAAAAGACAGGAGAAAGGAGAAAAGGTGCCAGGTAAGTTTGGGTTTGGTTTTTGGTTGTGTTTTTTTTTGCCCCACAAATGAATTGAGCTTGTATTTAACTGTGTGAGAATACAAAATTATGTGGGTTAAAAAAGTACCTTTTTCTGAGATTATTCATCTTGATGAGAGGGGGACATATGGTCTGTTCTGGTTTGGTAATGTTGAAAGTGCCTACTGGGTTGGAACATGAGACTGTTTCTCCTAAGGAATTAAGTTTCCTGGGTGTTAAATGTATGTTGAGTCCACCTGTGCCCCGGATGTAGTTTGCAGTGCAAATCACTTTGTTTCTGTTAAAGCAGGGTTTCTGTGCACTTTAGGCCTGTTCTTTCCCTTTTCCTGCCAAGTGTCTAATACTGCCACTAATGAATAAACAAGAAAACATAGTGGTTAAGCCTTGGGTGTCTAATATTAACGAACAACGTGTAAGACTTGGCCAGATAAAGGTGGATTTAGATTTATTTTTTTTCCTCAGTGTTTTGTGAAGTCCTGTATATGGGAATTTTGTTTGAGGGAAGTTTGCAATTAGCCTCAGAGTACTGGCAGACACTGGATGCAATTTCCATTTCTCTCTTGTTTTCTGCTTCCTTGTTGATTTTTTTTTCTAAATTTTTTTTTTTTTTCCCTCTCCAGTTGTAGGGGGTGTGCAGTAAGGAGCTGTTGGTCTGTTTACTCTTGCCGTAATTTGATTGCCCCTCTTGCTCGGGATGCACCATTTCTCCTCCTCCCTGCACCACCTGCGGCAGGGCTGGCTGGCTTTTGAACTGCCGCTGCACAGCCCTGCAAGGCACCCAGTCAGCCCGGAGCTGCCTTCCTGCAGGTTAAGACCACCTGGTGAGGCAAAGCTAGTAAAAGGATACGTAGGGCTGGAGCCAGATGAGGAAAAGGAAGCTGAGTGGTTTGCGAAAGCAGGAGTCTGTTCCTCTAACTCTGAGAGAAGAGAAGGTGGGAGAGGCACCAGGCCCGTGGCGCTGGGAGAGTGAAGATGGCGGGGAGCCTGTGAAGAGCCGTACCGGCAAGGTCTGAAAGCTGGCTGTGCTGTTAAAGTGAGTGACCTCTGAATTATCTGAGACCGGCGTGGGGGGATGAGTGGACTGGTGGTATTTTTTTTTTTGCCAGTAAGTTTAGATGAGATACCAAGTCACCTGTGACCGTGGATGGGCCCGAGTCCAGATCCAGTTACGTGGTACTGTTTGGCCCTCTGTTCCTGGGCGTGCAGTCAGGCTTGCTTTGTCTTGGTCCCCTTAAAGTCTTTGCAGAGTAGGCCTGTCACACCTTAACTGAAACAGCGCCTCTTAAATTTTATCTGTGCAACCCCTAGTGTTGTGGAGATCCAATGGCATCAAGTTTAGCTACAGTGTATCGGTGTTCCACAAAAGAGGATTTATTGACAAATGTATTTTTCTGTCAGTGAAACTGCTGACTTTATATATATGTAAAACCTCTGATATTCCCCCCCCTCCCACCCGCTTCCCTTGTTAGCTGTCATTTCCTCACCTATTTTTAGTTAAGTCATCCCAGTCTTGTTTCTTCTGGGCTTGCGGGGTGGTTAAGTGTGGAGCGGCGGTGGGCAGGACGCGCTGATGGGCTTGAAATGGTGGTCACGGGGAATGGAGCACGTTCACTTCAATAAACTTTTCATAGCTGTCAGCGGTCAGCAAACCCGCCATTTTGCTGTTGCAAAAGAACTCGCAAACCGAGCTGATGCCTGCTGGCACTGATGGCAGAGGGGCAGGTACAGAGAGGAGGCAGCAACGGGAGCGCAAAAGACTGGGGAAGATGGGAGGAAGACTGAAAATTAGTAGCAGTAGTAATGGCAGCAGTGGTTTGAGACAAACACTTATCTCTTACTGTCTTAAAAAATGAGCCGTTGCTCCATGGGTGTTGCTATATATACAGCTAGGTACCCAGGTAATATGGTGTGATTTTTGCATTGAAGATGATAGTATTTTTAAATTATTATATGACAATAGTGAGTATTAAACCGCTGGCCTTCAGTATTTTGATTTATAGTCAAAATAATTATCCTTCAAAAGCAGCAGTCTCAGGAGAGTGTTAAATGAAAATACCCATAGTATTACACAAATCTTATTTTTCAAGGATTCGACGTACCTGTGTGTGTATACATGTGTATATGTAGAGAGAGAAGAATGTGATGTTTTGTCAGCTGCGAGCAAGTTTTGTGTGGAGCAGCTGAAATACAAATTTGCTGGCAGCAGAGGGAGCTATTGAAGCTTTTATTGAGCATTCAAAAAACTTTTGGGGTGTGTCCATGTTAAAAAAAAAAAAAAAAATTTTAAAGCCCTAATTTAACCCGAGATCCGAGGTGCCTCACTGTTTCTCTGCAATAGCATTTTGCTGCCTTGGGGGTGAGCGTCCAGGTCTCTTGTGCCCTGGGAAAAGAAAGGGTGCGGTAGATGCAAAGGCGGTGGCCTGGAAGTAGCTGCTTGCAGTTTAAAAGGAACGACGTAAACTTCTCCCTAAGCCAGATTTTTAATCAAAGCAATGAGGAAGAACAGGATCTGTGTGGCGTATGTCAAAACAATAGCAGTGTGCATCAGCTACTAATTAACGCTCATGAGTGACTCTGGAAAAGTAATTCCCAGTCAGGGTGGAATATGTGTATTACTTTGTAGGGCTTTTGATAATTTGTCTTGATTCTGATTAATGTTGGATCTTTAGTACAGTTCTTTTTTGCAGATGCTGACTTGATAAGTTTTGTATGCCAGTCTGCATAAACAGGAGATTAATCATTAAAAATTAACAATAACCAGACAGTGACATTGTTCTGGCAAGTTATGCTATGTACTTGTTAGATTAACCCCTGTGTTGCTTTTACCTACCTGAATTTTGTGGGGTTAAAAATCTGTAATATTTCCTCAGTTCTGGAGGTGGATTATGGAGAAACTCGTATCATTTTTGGCCACAGCAAAGTCTCTTCATAAAACATATCTTGTATTAGAAATACGGAAATTTGCATGGATCTTATTTTTTTTTCTGAAGATCGTAT